CAGACACCAAAGGCTTCGTCTGATCTTGCTGGAGCACTTCAATCGTAACTTCCTCGGACTCGGCCGTGTGTTGCACATTGCTGGAGTAATCACAATGATTGCGTTGCAGTTACGAACACAACAAAGTTAGATAAGTGTTTCCAGATATCATGGAAGGGGGGGGGCGACGTACTAGTGCAGGGTTTCGTCGATATCGCTGTCGACCGACACGAACTTCGTGTGGCGCTCGTTGTTGCCCACAGCCAATCGTATGCTGAGCTTTTCTCCCGGGTCGCGGGCTTCCGCAGCCTCGAGTCGATGGACTGGCAACAAGTAAACGGCAAAGAGTCAGGTTATGCAGCGTTGTCAGTGAACCAAAAGGTCAAAGCGCACCCGTAACGGCCAGTGTCCCGGACACTGGCATCTTGGCCTGATCCCCGTCGAGACTTCGAGCTTTGCTGGCCAAATCGGAAATGAAGAGCTCATTGGCCCGCGCAGCACCACAGTGGTGCAAGGGAACTTTCTGCGTGCCCTCTCGCATGGGCCAATGGGTGCCTTTCTAGTTGCTTTCGCAGCATCTTTCCCCGCGAAACTTTGACTTGGCAATTGTATGCTGCTTTAGATGGACACAACTTGACCTGGGCATTAGCTGCTGAGACCTGCAAATGCAAGTGCCGGTAGTTTCATAGGGGCGGGCCGGCCGCCCGCCGGCCCGGACGACGATGCTGTCTCACTAACGGCTACGAAACTTATCAGTGCACTTGGCGTTTGTATGGCCACCCAGTGAACACTATCCGAGCAGCTGTCGCGCCTGCGCTTGTCCTTTGTCCGGGCGCTGCGCACGAGACAGGAAGTCCGACATGCAACTGTGACGTAGAGCTTGTCATTTTGCCAGTTGTCGCTCGGGGCTTACAAAAACCAAGTCATTTGCAGAATAAGCTCAGGGTGGTTGAAGCAAAAGATCGGCCCTGTACGTCAGCAACACCAACGGAAACGGAGTCCATTCAGCGGCAGAGTCTGCCTGGCAGACTCTGCCACTTGCCCCTTTGCCAAGATAATGCAGACGTGGCGCCTTTCAATATTTGAGCGAGATGTCTATTGTTGCCTCTCTGGTTCAGTTTTCGCCTCGAAACGAACGTCCAGGGCCAGGCAATTGCTCAGGCCCGGTGCTGGGCGGCCGTCTGCAGGTTGAGTGACAGCGACGAAGGCGTGGAGGCAGGACTGTGGAGAGCAATCGTTGCTGTTGCCTTTGACCACCAATCTGTAGTGTTGGCCTGTGGTCTCTTGCTTGACGAGCTGACTGAGTTGCGCAGCTGCCGCTCTGGATAGGAATCAGGCGAGGTGAGCACTGCTGAGCACCAGCCAAGTGGGATCGTTTCCGAGGACCACCATTAGGCAGTTGCGTTCGTTGAAGCGTTTCCTGAATCGAGCCGAAAAAATGTGTTGTTCTCTATGCTATGCAGAAGGATCACTCAACAGGGCGGACTTCAACGCAAAGGGCGGACCGCTCTTCTTCTCCGTCAAGCAGCGTCCCAAACCGGGCTGTCCGCCAAAATTTGCATTGCACCTTGCTTGATTTCGCCTCCCAAACCGTTTTTTTATCTTGCTTCTTCGCAACGTCGACTGCGGAAGCCTTAGTGCAACCTCCCCCATCCTCCCACCCAGACCCAAGTCGGCTCATGGAACTCGGGCCATCTCGAGCCCTGACGATGCCGACACAGCAATACTACCAGAGCGAAGGAGTACGCGACCTACAGCGCTCAGCCGCTGAGTCAGCGCGGGGTTCTACAGAGGTGTTTACATCTACTTTTGAGTAGACAATTGAACCTTGTCCAACAACGTACACTACCAGATACCCGGTATCATATCGAACATAACGCTCGCGCTAAAAGAACCGGAGGATACTGCTCCTTTAGGATCAGCAGCACAGTGCTGGTGGCACCGACTCGACTCGAATCTCCAGAGAGCTATCCAAACATGTACAGTACACGGACATGAAGCAAAGATCGCGTGGGTCTACATTGTATTTGGTGTGCGCCACATGTTGTGGCACAGTGTGCAGCACACTGCCCGATGACGAACCTGCGTAGTGCTGGCCAAATACACATTTAATACATGTGCATCCTTGTTCGATACAGGTGGGCCTTACTCAGTGGCGGCAGGTTGTTGCGAACAATATTGAGGACGCTGCGGTCGTGTGAATAGCATTCGCGCTCGGCAATTGCCTATTTCCGGTGGCTTACAGGAGATCTTTGCTCTACCGTAAATGTGTCACCACTTCGAGCGCAAGATCGATGAGTCCACGCCACGCGCGAACACTGAAGCTGGCGGTGAATAGCATCCGATGCTTCTTTCCGTCACGACCGTCTCCTGCGGACTCTAAAGCCAAGAGAGGAGCTCTCGAAGTACATGTACTACATGTATTAATAGTCGCTATCTCGATCCTGGGCAGAAGCGCCCCGCACTTGCACCATGTTGCAGCTTATAGACCGGGCGCAGCACCACCCCCAGTTCGAATGACGCGCTCGGTGCATCACCTTTTCGGTCTACGATCGTCCAGCGTCTTCGAGATTCGCTTCAATGAGGGGTGGCCAGCTTTCTCTGCGTTTGACTATGGCGCAACGTTCCCTCTGCGCGGCCACTACTTCATTTTCCAATTTCTCAAGACCCACAACTGATCTCTTCACCATGCCGACGTCCGGAAAGCTCACGATCAAAGTCCACGGCATCGAGGCCACCTTCGGCGAGGAAGAATACCGAAACAAGAAGCTGGCCGTGCGTTTTGCCGTGGGCAAGGCCGAGTACACGACCAAATACAAGAAGCACGACGTGCGTATCGACGAGAACGCCATCCTGCGCGTGCACGAGGCCGCGGCCGACGCGAAGCTCACCATCGAGCTGTTGCAGGAGAAGGTCAAGAAGCCCATTGTGAGCACACAAAAGTCGCTGGCCGAGTTCCAGAACAACCCAGTGACCCGCAAGATGACGTTCACGTTCGGCTCTAAGGGCGCGCCCAGCACGGCGTTGCTTTCGTACAGTGCCGACTGGGAGTCAAGCGAGACAACGTTGGCCGCGTTTGAGACCCACCGGCCGTGGTTCATGCGTGCGTCGTACTACTACGACACCACAAAGAACGTGTACAACTACACCACGAGCTTCCGTGTGGTGGCCCCGTTCGCCCGCTTCGGCGAGAACACGGCCAACACGGTAGTCGAGAAAGTGAGTGGCAAGTCGCTGCATGAGATCGATGAGGCCTGGGTTGGCCCGGGTCTTAACGCTCTGGACGACAGGGTGGACGCCACCATCTCGTCTGTGGTCGAAACTTTGTACACGAGTCAGCAGTACGCGCTCAAGAAGAAGGACGCGGCCGTGGGTGTGGCCTCCAATGTCGTCAAGAAGACGGGCGAGACGGTCTCGGGCGCTGTAGGCGCCACCGTGCACACAGCCGCTAATGTAAAGGACTACACGACGGAGAAGGTAGTCTCGGCCACGTCCAGTGTCTACGGCACGGTGGCCAGCGTGGCCGACTACACGAAGACGCAGGTGGTGCACGCCTCGTCGTCCACGTACGGCACAGTCAAGGGTGTCACCTTCACGGCGCTCAGCTACGTGCCTGTCATCGGCCCAAAGATCGCAGTGTAAGCCGTACAGCTAGCTACGTATCGATATTTGTTAATAAGGGCTCCTAACACGCCCCACGGCCAGAACTTGAGAATTCCCGATCGATAGGGAAGCAGCGTAAAACATTCAACATCATTCCTTCGTTTGGCATACCATGTAGATTGCATATCGACGCTGAAGTTGTTAAAAGTTGCTCTTTTTCAATAGCATTATGCTCATTTTCCGTACACTGTAGAAGTGTCATTCAAATGTCAGTGAGCACTGCCACCGCTGAGTGAATCGAACTCGTCAGCTTATCGAAAAGCTGCAGGCGCAAAAACCTCGTACGCTGACGCTGCGAACTGGTAAAAAGGGGTTCCGAAAATGTTATTTTTAGTAAATATATTTTTTATTTTCAGTAAAATAATTTATCCGTAATTTATTAGCGAGCTCCCATTTCAAAATCAAATAATTTATTTTGCGCTCTCTCCAGGCAATAACCTTGAACCGGGCTCGATAGAGCTCTACGGACCAGCGGTCCAGCTGAGCCACAATCTACAATCGATCTGCTGCGCTCTTGCCCTCCCATTTTGATGGTTGGTCGCTGAGACTCCGCGAGAGCCACCTGCATTTTGTGCAGCATTGTCATTGTCCGATCTGCTCCAATACCCACATGCCTCCGAAGCGCACGAATAATGTAACGGGGTACGTAGCACTAAGTGTACCCTGGTTACATGAAGTGTGACACTTCACACTTCAGGAGTATGACATGTCATACTCCGGGATATTTGGTACAAGGTACCAAGGTCATTCAAAACCAACCATTGGTTTTATGACATTGCATTTCTATAGGTAACTGATAGTTTGTATTAACCTCAAACTTAACCTACCTATAAATATACTCAGTTTACAATCTACCTTATTTAGGTCACTTCGCCCTCTTTAATTAAAGAGGGGACCTGTGAACTGCCGTTCACTGAGAGTTTGTATACTCTCGGAAGATAACTTCCTCTAGCGCAAGGTGCTGTGTGACCCCGTCACACTTGGTAGCACTTGTAGTCAATCCACGCCATCGCGGGTAGACTACCTGAACCTCCGAAGTTCGTTGCCATGGATAGGAACGACTTCTCCCATATGAACGACTCTCAGTTCGAGTCGGTTCGGAAGATGGCAGGCATCTTCGGGATGGAGGCCCTGCAGAGCCTGGTGGTATCAACACCGGCTGAGCAGCTCGAGCGCGTCAATGCATTCGACGCGTACGAGCAGGGCCTCATCGCGCATGTGCGGGAGAACCTGCAGGCTCCGGCGGCGGGAGCAAACCCGCCTCACCCGAAGCCAATACGGCTGAAGGTAAAGCCGTATGAAGAGAAGGAAGGCGAGAACCTTCACTTCTGGGTCCGAGAAGTAGAGCTCGCGATGGACGCGGCTCTGATCTCGACCGAGCAACTGCGTGTTGCTTTTGCACTCTCCAACCTTAGCGGTCGTGCTAAGAGTTGGGTGTACACTCGGGAAGCGACATCCCCTGGATGTTTCACATCCTGGGCTCAGCTGTGCGAACAGCTCCGAGCCGCGTTCCTCCCGGCGAACTACGAGTACCGCCAGCGTTCGCGCTTCCTCGCGTGTAAACAAGGAAGACGCGAACTGCACGAGTATGTGCAAGAGATACGGGAGCTCACGGCGTCCCTAGTGGGAAACCCACTCAATGAACACATCAAGATGACTGTGTTCATGGACGGCCTTCGAGTGGGCCCCGCACGCACTCAGCTGTTCCGGGTGCAGGCAAGCACCCTTGAAGAGGCGATTCAAGTGGCTCTTCAAGAAGAATACAGCCATCGCCAGGCGCGTACGCCGGCCTCAGCGTGGCCTGGGAGTTCCTTGTCGGCTCCCGGTCGAACAAGCCCCAACGGACCAGTTCCCATGAAACTCGGGTCCGCCGAACAG